TCTGAAACTACCAACACCATCTTTGAAACTACCACCATCTCTGAAACCACTACCGTCTCTGAAACCACCACCACCTCTGAAACTACCACCGCCTCTGAAATCACTACCACCACTACATCTGAAACCACTATCGCCCCTAAAGCCATCACCTCTGAAGCTGCTGTGGAACAACGTATTTCACAAATGTTGGAAATTCGAAAATCTATAAATACTTCACTAGAAAAATACCGCGCAAATATATACCAACAGAAGAGCGTCTATAAAAAAAAATAGCAAACAATATGATCGAAGCTGGAACTGCAGTTGCCATTGCGCCAGATCACGATATGAATCAACAAACACGAAAGAGAAAATTGCAACCTACCTATTCCCAGCAAGGTGTTTTTAAATCGCTCACGTCCAATAATCATACTGCGATTGTCGAATTAAATGGCGAGAATACACAGGTTCTTATTAAACGGGTCAAGCCTATACGAAAAAGGTCATAATTTTGAGAGGTTATTTTTTTTTTTTAGTTGGATTTTTTTTTTTTTTAAAGATTTTTTTAGTTAGATTTTTTTTTTTTTTGAAGTTTTTTTTTTTTTAAGATTTTTTTTTAGTTGGATTTTTTTTTGATTTTTTTTTTTATTATCAGTTATAAAAAAATTTTTTTATTTTTAAGAAAGTTTTTTTGTGTAAAAATTTTTTTATTCGTGCTCCCTCATAATAAAATGGTTCATGAAGTTAGCATACAATATACAGATTGGGGTTTGAAGAATATAGATAGTGATACCAACTTTCGCGAAGAAAACTTTGTATCAATGCGCAGTAAGCATTTCATATGTTAATTTTTGGGTTAAGAAGCGTTGCATATTGAAATTTAATTGGCTATAGAATTTTTTAGAATAGTACGTAGCCTAAAATTTTCTTAATTGTTTAACTGTTTAATTCGGCCAGCATTAAGATAATTCTTACCTATGTTCAACATAGTTTAGCCTGGCATTATGGAAAATTTTTTATATGGTTAAACGATTCCAATCCCTAGTACCAACCAGGACCAAAAAATTTTTAGATTAGTTTCACTACAGCACTAGCGAATCAAATTTCACCTAGATAGCATATGTTACACGAGATTCGGAAATTACAGGAATGACATCGAATATCACATGATATGATCTGCATGGTCAAGTTACATAAATCTCACCATAATCTAATCTCACTATAATCCGCGACAAATATTGTTAGGAGGTTTTTTTCGTTGTTTGCTTTTGTTTTTTCTTCTTTTCTTGTCAACTTGAACTAATTCTTTTTCTCTTTTGTAGGTTTGGTTTCATTGAAATATCGGATAATAGAGATTAGAACCGGACTCTTGTAAGATAAGTACTATTGGAGTTTTTTTTTATTGTTTGCTTTTTTTTGCTTTTCTTGTTAGCTTAAACTAATTCTTTTTTTTTTGTAGATTTAGTTTTATTAAAATGTCGATTAGAACATAGGATTTTGTAAGATAAGTACTGTTGGTTTTTTTGTTTGTTTTTTTTTCTTGCTAGCTTGAACTAATTCTTTTTCTCTTTTATAGATTTAGTTTTATTAAAATATCAGATAATGGAGATTAGAACCGAACTCTTGTAAGATAAGTATTGTTTAGTTTTTTTTCATTGTTGTTTTTTTTTCTTGTCAGGCTAAACTAATTCTTTTACTCTTTTGTAGGTTTAGCTTCGTTGGAACATCGATTAGAGCCAGAGTCTTGTAAGAGCCTTCATGGCTAGGATTTGTCAATTTTTTTGGTGTAGTTTTGCCTCCTTGTCATTATTTTCTGATGCTGACATCGTCGTTGATATTTGTTGGCGAGTTTTGTTCTTTCAGCGTTATTGTTTGAACTTTCGTTATGTTATTCTTGGAGCATTATATTGTTGAAGCATTTGTCATATGATTAGAATTATGTTAATTTGCGATTAGAGTGGTTGGATTTTTTTTTTTTTTTTTTTTAATAAAAGAATTTTTTTTTTTAATGTATATAATTTTTTAATAAAAATGATGTAATTTTTTTTTTTTTAATAATGATGTAATTTTTTTTTTAATGTAAAAAATGATATAATTTTATTTTTTTTTTTAATAATTTTGATTAGATCCGGATTAAAATTTCTGAAGTTGATATATTTTTTTGTTATACATATTTTGATTAGCTATATATGATCTGATTACTGTCACTGCTAGTAACAAAAAGATTCACTCTATATTTTAAATATATTTTCAAATAAGCTTTTTGAAAATATTTTTAAAATATAATTTTAATATTATTAAAAAGAAAATTTCTAAATTTACACATGTGTTTATACATGTGTAATAAAATAAACAAACAAATTTTTATTAAAAAAATTAAAATTTTTTAACTTTAGAGTTAAGGCAAGACTTGGGATTTTAGCAAGAGCATAGTTATATGCAAAATTTAGCCAAAAATTTTTTAAATTAAAATACCAAATATGGTTTTATATGTGAAATTTTGAGATATTAAAATTTTTTGATTTTTTACTAAAAAGTTTATTTTTGTTATACAAAAAATGATCTATATATTACATCTGATCCTAAATTTTAATTGGCTTTTCTAATGATTTTGTGTAATAATGTGTATATACACTAGTGTACAAATAGCAATACTCAAATTAAAAATATTATAAAAACATTATTATTATATTTTAAAAATAATTTAAAATAAGCTTTTAAAAATGTTTTTAAAATATAATTTTAATATTATTAAAAATATTATAAAAATATTATTATTATATTTTAAAAATAAGCTTTTTAAAAATGTTTTTAAAATATTATTTTAATATTATTAAAAATATTATAAAAATATTATTATTATATTTTAAAAATATTTTAAAATAAGCTTTTTAAAAATATTTTTAAAATATTTTTATAATATTTTTAATAATATTAAAATAATATTTTAAAAATATTTTTAAAAAGTTTATTTTAAAATATTTTTAAAATATAATTTTAATATTAGTAAAAATATTATAAAAACATTATTATTATATTTTAAAAATAGTTCAAAAAAATTTTTTAAAAATATTTTTAAATTATTATTTTAATATTATTAATAATATTATAAAAATACAATATTATTATTTATATCTATATAAAATTAGATATTTATTTAATATTATTTATAAATATCTAAAAACTATAAATATTTAATAAATAACTATAATGAATATTCAAAAGATCCTTTAGCAACAGTTGTACCAATAGGTAAATAATACAATCTTGATTTGTTTATTATTATATTTTTTATAATAAATATATAAATAGTTATCTTCTTTTTACAAATTTTTATATTGTATTATTTACTTCTAATTCATTAATTATTCAAAAAATATTTGTAACTATCTTAAGATTCATATATATATGCTTTTTCTTTAAGAACAAATTTATTTATTACATCATGTTATATTTATTATTCATTACTATATATATAGTTATATTTAACTAATTATATAATATTATACTTTATAACATAAAATTTATTAAAATTCTATTTAACTCAGGTCAAATAACCCTACCAGAATTTTAGAGCTAGTGTGGGCCGGAATTATGTTGATACTAACCAGGGTTTTTAATATAAAAACCTGGCCCGCATTGACATAATTCCAGCCTGCACTAACCCTAAATTCTAGAGAGGGGCATTTAAGATAAAAACCTGGCCCGCATTAACATAATTCTGGCCCACACTAACCCTAAATTCCAGAGAGGGGCATTTTGACTCAGGTCAAAATAGAATTTCCCAAATTTAATACACGTTATCTACTGTATGGTTATATGGCGATGTTAGTACAAGAAAACTTGTTTGAACAGAAGTAAAAGTTAGAATTCGATAAAATTAATCTTGTCCATAAAACTCTTAACAGTCATCAGACCCGGGAATTTTAGAGTATAAGTAATGCAACACGATATCACAAGTTAAAACAAACACAAAGCTACGATAGTATGTACGATCGTCAACTATAACCTATACTTACCCTAAGAAAACTAGCTAGCACATATTCAAACCCTAAAATAAGACAATGTTAAATACAAACGGCTTGTTAATCGTACATACTATCAAATTCTCATATGTTTGTTCTAATATACATAACATCTATAATCTAGAATCACACAAACTGCAGTTTACAAGTTAATCAATATATGAATATCATAGCATACATCAAATAACAGTCATGCTAAAGTTTTCAATAACACATCTTCCATCCCATATACATACATTACACACCACCTTTCTTTTGACATCTCGCGCTATTGTGCCCAGTTTTATCACAACTACGGCAAGTATATGGTTGACGACTTGATTTCTCTGTGGTAGCCTTATATCTTTTAGTTCCGGGTCTGCCCTTGTGTTTGGTGATTGGTGGATTGGCAACTGTCAAATCGTTTTCCTTATCACTGTTTTCACATTCATCAGTTTGTGTTAGACAATATTTCTTTTGATTAATAAAAGTTCTTAACCATTGAATCATCTCATTATCATCACAATCAATTGCGAGTTGCGCAGCTTGTCGTGCAAGGCCCCATATTTCGCAAAACTTGGAACGTCGAGTTGCCGCACATCGGCTGCTTGTTGCTACTGAAGGAGGAACAGTAAATTGTTGAGGAATCAATGGTATGGTTTGACTTTGTTGTGCTTGACTAGAACCCTTATTTGAAAAAACCACATTCTTTTGACCAACTGCCTCTTTCTTGTTATTATAGTACCAGCGTAATGCCACCATACTAATGTGAAATCCAGAAATTTGTGAAACTAGCATTACTTGAAAGTAATGTCTGCACACGATACCGTGAGATATATTGGCCATGCATGTACATAAATAGAAAATAGGATCTATTATAATAATAAATTGCTTTCGCTGATTGTTGCCTGGTCTCTTGTCAATAATTTGCCATATTTCCTTAATGTTAGCTCGATCGACTTGCAAAACCATTGATTTAAGCAAAATTTGCTTCACATCATAAATATCCTCTATAAATTAATCTTCCATACTTTTATTTTCATCATCAGAGCCAATTATCGTCATGTCGATTAATACTGCATTGAAATATAAGCATTGAGCCATTTCAATACGTTCAACAGAAAGGATATGCGGTGTCAAATATTCTGAAAGTATTTGATCAACAGTAGGGAATATCTCATTGCCAACAGATGAAATCCCAACACATGACGACAACGTCTGATATTCAAAGAAACGGTTCCATTCAGCCTCTTTTTCTAATCGCGAATCTAAGATGTTTAATAAATCGCATAAACTACCATTGCTGTGTAATATTCTCTTAATAAGACCATTGTATCTGTTAAAAATGAAACTGGAATGAAGTGAATTTGAAATTTCTTAACTGTTAAACAAACTTAAAATTTAGTAAAATAACATGTTAGATATTAGCTAATATCCTTAGATAAAAAAGAACAAACAAGACATGCGTCAAAATGTGATCTCAACTAATATCTAATGCAATTTCTTAACTGTTAAATAAACTTAAAATTTAGTAGCAAATCTAACCCTACACTATCAAAGATCTAAATTATTTAAAATCTATTTTAATTCACAACATACCCTTTCACGCATGACGTTGTTTGAACTCCAGTGGTAAAAATTTTTGATGTAAAGGCGCAAGCCCAGGATTGACGACTAGAATAAAGGACTCTTGTTAAGTAATTTGAAGCAGATGGATATTTTTCTAGTAAATTTTGCCACCTAGATTCAAACAACATTTCATCCAGTGTATTACGATACTGATAAAATTCCTTGATGAATAAATCATATGTATTGCCTAATATAGCCTTTAGATTCTTTGGTAGATTTTGGCTGATGTGATAGATGCAATGTAATGAATTGGTATTTTCGTATACTTCTTTTAATGCGCTGTCCATCGCCGGATCCGCATCTGTAACAAAGACCATTGGTTCAACACCCGTAGCTTTTATTGTATACTGGAGAATCCATTTGTAAGAGTCAACTGTTTCGTCGAATATTAGTGCTTGTGCAACCAAACGAGATCTCGTGTTATTATCAACAATAAGAAACAAACTAAGCGGCATTTGATATCGATTTGTCTTAGCTGTATTATCATTGAGAATAACATCGTGATACTCGAGCCAAAGAGATAATTGTTTAGGGGTCATCCAAAAAAGCCTGGTGAGACGGTTGTCACTATCTAATTCGAATTCAATACTCCAACCTGACTCTGAATGTTTTTCAGTAAGAAATGATAGAAGATGTAAAGCATCTGCTTCAAGATCTCGAGATTTTACTTTGTAATGTTGAATAGCGTTAGCAAGATCCATGTCTAAAAAGGTTGTATCTGGATACTTTGCTCTTAATAATTGGCATTGTACAGTAATCGAAAGATTTCCACTTTTTGTATAAAATTCGATGTCATTTAGTGCATCCTTTTCAATAGATCTGAACTTAGCACTATATTTACAATTCTCAGGATTAAGTTTATGATTGTGAGCATTTTTAAACATTGTAACTGTAATATAGATAGATTGTTTAGAGAAATTTAGATTGATATGCTATTCACATCCTTGCCGTTTTGACTGTCGATTACGGTGGACGTTGATATCAATACTTTTTTGGGGTGTATACTTTCCCCCAAATTCGCATCCAAAAGATCGATGCTTAATTGTACCATCATCACGTTGCTCAACTCTCTTTTTAATAATGGCAAATCCATGATATTGTCCATAGGCTTTAAGAAAGGAATCAACATCATCCTATGACTAAAATGTATAACCAACCCTCAGCAAAGAAAAATCATATAGTGTCTCGCTTGAAGACGTTTCTACATAATTGAAACAAA